CTTTTGGAATCTTGCCAAAAGTGTCACACAAAATCCTAGGTTAATAAAAATTTAGGCACACTCTGAAAGTAGACCATCATATCTACACCTATGAAATTTAAATGACTTCACAGTGGCTTCAATATGTTTAAAGTTGTCAAATGTGTTGCTCTTTTTCATGAAGACTAATTTTTTCTATCCTGTTGACTTTTATTAACATAAATACAAATATTAATCATACACCAACAGCAGAATTACTTTTGCTTTTGGAGCCCTAATTGTTCCTAAAGCATCTCTAATCCTTTTACAAAATAAAAATATAAATAAGTTTTAACTCCCTCATCAGAGGTTTTTTTTTTTCAGAAGCTTAAGAAAACATAAAAGAATCAAGATGATGTAGAAACTATGATGTCAAAAAAGTATTTCTATAAGAAATTAATGGAAGCCAGAGCTTTATTATAAGCATCAGCAATGTGACAACCAAAAAATAGCTTCATATGTTTTTGGGTGTGTAGGGACATGATAATTGACAGTAGATGGAACAAGTTTATAGGCCCATCAAGCCACATGAAGGAGAGTGTCTAAATTCTAAGCTTCCTTTCTATTGGATATGATCTACACAACAGAGGGATGAAATATTCCCAGTTATATAAAGCAAATTATCTTGGCTCTTCTATCTTGCATGCAAGATACATTTACCCTTTACAAAATGTTTTTTTGTTTGTTTGTTAGTTAGGAAGAAATTCAACAAATACAGTTGTACAGAAACCCCAGAAATTGCTTCATCCCATTATGGAGCAAGAAGTTTTATTTGGCCATGAAAACTGACTTTTCTTTCTCCTGGATTTATCTCATTTTTTCCGATGCTTATTCATCTTTGATTTTATACTTTTATTCTTGTCTGTTTTCATTCATTTGCAATGACTAAAATTACCCATCCAGGTTAAAAGATATGCACGTTTCTTTCTCCTCTCTTTTTCCTTCTTAGAATGTAGGCAACCCAAAGCAGTTGAGCTAAGAAAAATCTTTCATCTAATCGAAAACTCACAGCCCCTGGTATTCTTTCATTACCAGGATTCATCAGCTCTAATTCATCTGTAGTTCTCAAACCCAGAGGCTACAGAATAACAGGAGGTAAGAGAGTTGCTTGAGGAAAAAGCCCTCCTAGGAGTAAGTCTAGTTGTCAATATTGAAGAGATAATCTAATAATCTGTGATCCAAAAGAGATTCATATTCTCATTCCACTTGGCTAATTTAACCTACCTCTCTAAGGATCTGCAAATGCTGCTGATGGTAGAAATCTGACTGAAAGTAAAGCTGTGACATTAGTTTGTGGGAGATTTAGATCATCTCTTTGTACTTAATGACAAAAAGCAAGTCCTTTGAGGAAGTGACTTCTAGCTCTTGTAAAATAAGGTCAAAATAGGTCTTTCTTTAGGTCGCTTAGAAAAGAGTCAAAAAAAACCCTTTTAAGATAAAAGCTTACTTTAAAAAATTATTCAAAGATCAGAAAGCTGAAAAAAGAAATACATCAATGGAAAATTAAAAAGTATAAAAACTTGGTACTGGCTTGATAGTGGCCCTTAAAGTTGCTCTTAAATATACATTCCAAGCAAAGAAGAATACTGTTTCCATTCATGAGGTTTTGGTGACAGGAGTTCTGTACTTATTTAGGCAACTTTCTTTCAAACCTAATAAAAAAAAATTATTATATTAATTTCTTTCATTTCAGTTTTAGAATAGAGTAAAACAGAGTAGAGTAGAGTAGAGGAGAGTAGAATAAAGCATCTAAGTTGGAATGAACCTACAAGAATGATCAAGTTCAAGTGCCTAATCAGTTCAGGGCTGATCAAGAACTAAAGCATGTTATTTAAGAGGATTGTACAAATGCCTTTTAAACACCAACAGGCTTGGGGCATTGACCACCTCCTAGGAGCCTGTTCTCACATTTAACCCCCCTGTCACTAAAGAAATGCTTCCTTATATCAGGTATAAACCTCCCCTGGCCCAGCTCTGACCTGCTCCCATGTGTCCATCCTAGCACTGGATAAAAGGAAAGAAGAGCTCAGCACTTCCCTCTCCATGTCCCCCCATCAGGAAGCTGCAGATAATAAGGAGTAATTATTATTTATAATAATAATCTCATTATTATAACGAGGTCTCCCTTTGGTCTCCACTAAACCAAACTAGAAATCCCTTGAGGACTCCGTGATACTGACTGTTGGCCAGTGTCAGTAAGAAGAAATAATATTTGCAGAATACTGAACGTGAACAGGGAATTCAGCAGGTGAATCTTCTATTCAATGCCAAGGAGCAATAGTGCACTTGGGCCCTGTTTACAGAATCTATGTCCCAGGTAAGTTAGGCATGAAACCCAGAAAATTTACATGTTTTCTGACTGCATTTGCTCAGTGAAAGCCTGAGTCTAGAAATATACTCATACCATCATCTTTCACAGCTACTGTATGGATTATCCAGTTCTGAAATCACTGAAAAATATAGTAAGGGAAGACTAGTGGGGCATTATATCTTTTAAGGCTATATGGATTTTATTTAAAGTCTCAAAGCTTGACCTATGCTTAGACAGCCATCACAGTAAATACACATTACTCAGGCAAGAGTTAAGCAAGTTACATGCTACAATGAACTCATGTTCAGATACATTTGGTGCATAATCAATAAAAATGATTTGCAGATTAGTTAAGAGATGAGTCATGTCATGGAAGTAATGAGTAGTGTCCACTGCAGGTGGCAAGAAAGGCCTGGTATATCATATTGACTAGACTGACTATAAATAAATGTTACCCTCTTTGAGGCCACCTCTATTCTCAGCTCTTCTCTGCCAATTGTCTTTAAATCAGAAGCAGTGCTAAGGAAACTTGAGATTAAATACAGGAGGTACTTTTACAGGCTGATAAATCCAAATGGCCTCATTCTGCAGCATGGAGACAAACCAGCTTTGGGCTGAAAATCCAGTTCAAAATCTATGCATTTGATAGCCATGGACACAATTCTGTATTCTTATCACTACACTCATTTCAGGCACAAGCTGACACAAACAGACCCCTTCTGAATGCATTTCTGAGAGTGTCATACTCATTTTGAGACTCTGTAAGTCTGCAGGCTGGAAAGAACGAGATCTATTTCTCAGATTCAGCAACAGAAAACAGGGGTGAATAAAAAACAATGTATGTATGATATGATGAGCACGAACAAATGGTCTCAAGGCATGATTAATATGCTGTTGGGAAACTGTAATTTGGCATTGTCTAATGCCTAGTGACTGAAGCAGAAACATACTGGTCTAAAAGAAATGCAATTTTTACTTGTAATGAAAATCTGAAAAAAAAAACCCCACCATAATTTTTAATTAAGAAGTCGCTTATTATGAGTCATTGTATTTTGGTTGCTTTTGAACTCCTAATCTTACTGCTTATCTCTTTAGCAAGAAGTTACTCTAAAAGTCTAATTTCTCAGTGTAGGTGTGGATGACTACACTTTGACTTCTGTTCATAACTTGTTTATTATAGCCCTGATTAAATATTTTATGCTATGGAGGGGCATGGAAATTGTTATGAATTGCTGACAGCAGTGGGTGTCGAGAGTCACTTGTAATTTAGAACAGATGCAAAGAACCCTTAAAAACTATTTTATGCATCTATGTAGCTGAAGCAAGAACAATTGGACAACTCTGAGAAAAGATACCATCCTTCTCGTCCCTTAACAGCATAACTTTGGGAACTAACCAGCTCCAAGGATGTGAATGGCTTAAATACTGTTTGAATGGAATTAATAAAATATTTTAGAGGACAAAAGAAAAATATGAAACATAGTTAGCAAGCACTAAGCTGTCTCAACAGGTATAGCAGCATGTTTCCACAAAATCTCTAAAAGTAAGTTCTCATTTCTTAGCTGAATGATGCCCAAAGGAGCTCAAAACCAAGGAATATTCTCTAAGTCAGGAATATAAGATCTGGGAAATCTTTTACACATAAACCATAAGAGTTGCTTCAGTGATACCTGAGCCTAAATATTTTGCTTTTAACACCAACACACAAAGACCAAGCTCTGGAAAATCCTTCAATAGCTGAGTTACACTATTTCTCAAATTCATTATCTATTGTCCTCTTTGAGGGAGAGTCACCCTGTTTCCCACTGAAAAAACTGTTGAACAATTGATTCTGTAAAATGCTACCTACACTTAAAAATCAAGCATAGTGTTGTTGCTTACCATGTGTCTGAAAGGAATAATGTTTCACAGACGTGGTATGAACCAGATGGAATGACAAAGGAAATTGGGAGTCATTAAATTGCAGAGAGGGAAAAAGATGCTGTGAAAGAAAATTAAAGAGCTAAAAGGCACATAGAGAAAAAAAAAAAAGCACCAAGGAAAATACTTTTGATTCTCCCTACAAACTATTAAAGGCATGAAGAGTGAAAAATATTTTTAGGTTTCTTTTTTTTTATTTTATTGGAGGGTTTTTTTGCCTTGTTTTCTGAAAGACAATTTTGCCAAAAGATTTATGAGAGTCAGTATCAGTTCAGATAAAAGTGTCTTAAAAAATTCTTCCTGTTAGCCATGTTCTTGTTTCATTATTTTATTCTCACAGAAAGTGTTGCTTATTTTCTCCTCCTTTGAAGAGGAAAAAGACTATCAACTATCACATTTAAAAAAACAAAAAAGGAAAGTCTTTGAACTAAAATTAGCTATGGTATTTCAATCTATTATTATTAAGTTGCATTCTTTTGTACCATCAAAGGAAAGAGTCAGTGCAAACCCAGTATCACTTATTAGTTTTTAAGATGAGCTGTAAATGTAAAGCTGGCATAAGTTAGTGTAAGTTACCCACAGTTGTAAAGCTTTGTTGGTACAGGCTTGTCCTGATCTCACCAACTGTTAAAACTGTCAAAACCGTTAAACTGTTAAAAAAAAAAGTTTAGATTGGATATTAGGAAAGATATCTTCATTGTATGGGTTATCAAGCATTAGAAGAGACTGCCCAGGGTTGAGTAAGATTTATTTAGTTATGGCTAAAGCTAAGACAGCACTGTTGAATGAGTACCCAGAAATGCTGAGCAATGAATTCAAGGTTGCAATATGTTATTTGGTAAGAAGGATGTGGAATTTGCATGCCTTGACTCACAACCCTGAAACTACTGAGTAAAGTTTATCTCAGGCACTCAAGGTTATATTTTCATTGCTAATTTTTCTTCATCTTTACAGAGCTGAAGGCCTACTGTCAAACCTGCTGCCCAACCATGCCATAAAGCTCTGTCTTCCAAGCACATTTCCCAACTTCAGGTATGCTTAGAAAGTCCCATTTTCAAAAGTCTCTTCTCATATTTTTCTGATCCATTACTTCACACAGTCTGAAAAGTACCACACAGCATAAAAAGCTTTCTTAAGATAAACTCATACAAGCTAAAAAAAAATTCAGAGGAAAAGAAACATTAAATAATAACAATTTAGTGGCAAATTTGAATCTGTTCTATTAGAAGAGGAAATGAATACATTAAATAAATAATCCTGTGAAAATTATTCACTCAAGTCTAGCACAAACAATAAATTTTGGAAGTCCACAAAACTGAGTTATCTTTCATATTGACTCTTTACATATGTAAAACTTGCTTATCTGTCAAATTCTTTCTGCAAAAATGGCAGTGTAAAGGGCTTGTCATGTGCAAGATCTGATAATGCTCTCTACACCATTCCAGTCTTCTTTCCAAATGGTTTAAATGAGGGAGGCACCAGAAACACAGAATCCTTGTGATTATGAGAGTGCTTTGCTGTGTCAGGAAGCATCAAGTGTCTGCAGGCATGCTCTTTAATTATGAATTTTGATGTGCCATAAGCAAAGTCACTCCAATTGGCATTAGCTAACACACAGAACTGCAAATTATTCTAATACTTAGGCTGTGTTATAATAGCAAGTGCTCATACACCATCCAAAAATCTGTTTTGTTGTTAGAAGCAAAAAATAAAAGTCATTATTTCGGTATAGCCAAGTAACTACGTGTAACCAGAGCAGGTAAGGAGAGGTAGAGAATAAAAATCACTGATACATTTTCTAATATTTTAGCTCTATTCAATCAAATGGAAGGCACCCAGAGTCTCTCAGAAAAAGCAGACAATAGCTTTCCTCCAATTGCTTGCCTCTGACTAGAAGCAGTTTGAAAGTTATAAAGGTAATTTGTATCAACTCATTACTGTGTCACCTCATTTCGAGTACATGCTAGGTAAGTAGCAATAAGCTCTGGGTTAGAGGATTTTACATTCTAACCATTAGTACAAACTAACTGCATTGAGCTCTTGAAGATTACCCCAGACAGTTATTGAGATTTAGGAGGTGCAGCTTTCTACTGTTTTAAGGGAGATTCTGTAGATAATTTTATCATTTATTCTAGAACTGAAGTAAAAAGTTAATTTGTTGAAGAGCACTCATGAATTATTTCCTTCCTATAGGTACCATAATGTTCCCGGTAGAATGCTCTTCTTGCTCTTTAATTCAAGGTAATGATGTTGCTGCATCTTCTCTTGACACTTAAAATGCAGTTTAATGCCACATCATCAGTCAAAACTTCCGTGTGATTTCCAAAGACATTAAATTATCAGAAAAACTGAACTGAGAAATTAACATTTCTAATGCATTAGAACTTTTCTGGGCTTTTTAAGGGAGTTTTCCCCCTCTGCTCAGGATTGTGGAACAAAGAAAACTTTCATACCATGTCAGAAAATCTCTTTCCATGAATTTCTGCTCTGATTTTCATAGAAAGTATGCATATCAAACAATCTGATTGTGCTCCATTGGAGTTACTTACATGGAATAATTTTTACAAGTGTCTCTGACATCTTTCACTTACTTTAAATCAGTGACTCTGACAACATAGTGCATATATTAACTTACTTACACCCTTCTGCAATAAATTGTTTTGGTATAAAAAAATATAATCTACTCTGTGTTCAATATTGGTTTTTTTTCCCTGTAGATCAAATCTAAAAGACATAAATCAGATTTTTTTCCTTTCTTCTTAAAATGAATATGGTTTGGTGACACTATTTTTTGAATGTGCAAGGACAGCTCAAACTGAATATTCACTCACTTTCATTTCATCACAGCCCACCTAAAAATGTTGGTCAAAGCAACTGTAGAGTACTTTGATTCAGAGCTTTTTATAAACTTTTAAATAAATAGGCTTTTATCAATCACTTCGTTTTTGTAATTAGTCACATCTATAGTAGGGAAAAAAACACATGAAAAAAATGTTAAATATATTTGTGTTTTTTTCTTCTTTACGTTGAAGACCTGATTCAATATAAAGCTAAATTGATGTATTTTCTAATGAAAGGAGAACAACTACTTTAAGTATTCTAGTATTTCCAAAATTTCAAAATCAAGTTTATTTCTTTACTGTGGCACACATTTTGCCCCACACTTTATTCTCTGTCTTTTTCTTATACTTTGTCACACTAACTTTTAATAACAACAGCAAAAGTTCCTCCATGCTTTGAGCAGATAATAAAGTGATAGAGTAGGTTTTAAAATATATGATTTCTTGTTTATGTCACTAATGTGACAAAATTTATGCCAAAATTTAAGGGATTTTTGATGCTGAATGTAAGATTTCAACCCAAAGAGAGAGCAGTACAGAATTACAATAGAAAGTCTCACTATCCTTTCCTGGTGAGCACATGGTGTTCTTTTCTCCATCATATTTAGATGTGTCTGTAGGAGCAATCACCTCCACAGTACACCAAAATAATAACACTAATAGCAATAATAAAACAAAAATCTCACTCTCATGCTAACCTTGGTATTAATACCCAAAAAAAAAAAAAAAAGCTTTAGACCATCACTAAACATACAGACTTATCATTTTGTATTTATTTCTTACTTCTGGGGAGAAATTTGAAGGGCTTGTTGAGTCACCATTTTCCAAATATTTGATCCTGTGGTAGGAAGATTTTAGGTGAAGGAGGGGGAGGTGGTGGGGGAAAGTTGCTTAAATGAGTTTTGTGTGATGATTTGTTTGTTTCCAGAATATTTGCTCATGACACAACTCACTGTTAGACTTTGCTCTGTTTATCAGGAGCACATAGCCCAGTCAAATGGGTTTTCAGTTTGAAGAAGGCTGGTGTGCAAATTCAGAGGAGCACAGAGACTTATCAGTGCTGCTCTTTTATTCATGGAGAATGCTAACCATGATGGTTCAGAGTTTAGTGATAAACTCACTCAACACATGAAGCTACAGGACAATATTGTGCACTTACTTAGGCTGTGTTATAATAGCAAGTGCTCATAACACCATCCAAAAATCTGGTTTGTTGTTATCAGCAAATAATAAAAGTCATTATTTTTAAGAGGAGGAGTGGCTTGGTTTGAGACAATTCAAAGAACACTCTGCAATGAGCTGCATTCCTTTATAGATTCAACCAGTCCCTTTCCACCAGTAAGGAACAGCTACGAGGCTGCCTAAAATCACCTTATTTCCTGCTCTGTTCAGATATCTGCTCAGCTAAGGTTATGGTGACAAAATTAAGTGACAACAAATCCTTTTCCACCATAAAACGAACATAACTGAAGGCATAAATGAAGAAATGACTGATAGATTTACTATAATTTTTCACTCTTTTGTGGTTTCCATTTCTCATGGTTTCTTTCTTCAGATGTGATTCTTCCTGGAATGTTCATTCTCAAGTGAAAATGTCTTTTAACAACTTTGGCCCATTCAAAATCACTTGCAATCAAGGAATTAATCAGAAAGGAGTAATATTTAAACAGCGACAGAACACACAGATAGGGGCTATTCAGCTTTAGGAGCTAAGAAATGAATTTATTTCTATGAATAACCTTTTTTCATCCACAAGACAGTGTAACATTCTCTTGGCAATCTTAATTAAAGTGCAAATTTTATAATAAAAAAGAGTATAAGAATTGTACCTGAGAAGAAATTCTACAAGGCAGGAAATAAAGGGCTTATTTAAGTAAGTAATCAAATATATATCCTTGATAACCCTAAAAGAGTAAATCCTAATCCAAAACTTACTTCAGATTTTATTTCAATAATAGGTATAGATATACCAATGACAACTATTTTAAGAACAAAATATGTGACTTCTATCAAGAATTTTAAGAGAAAATGGGAATTATTTTATATGTATAAAATAATTTGTTTGTGCCTGTGTGGCACCACACTGTGTCCTCAAAAGACTAAAGATAAAATAATGAAATAAAAAGTAAAAAACATTCACTTTGTGTATATATATATAAATATGCATTTATATATATATGTATATGTATTTTTATATGTGTATTTATATATTCCTCTTAGCTCTTATAGTTCTAGTAAATGATATGATAGACTTCTACAGTGTAAAATATAACCAGTGGCAAAGGGGACACACAAACCACTAATAATGGGAGACTAAGGAACAGGTTCCAGCTCTTCCAGCCAAAAAGACTGATCTTCCTGATTAATTCCTTCTACCAGAAATCCTGGCTAACAAAATTCACTAAAATCAAGAGCACACTTCCACGAGGTATTAAGCTGAAAGAGTTAAGAAGCTGATGACAACTAAGCTCATTGTTTATAATTTTCCTGCTTTATCTTCTTGCTGAAAACTGTCTTTTGCTGAACAAGTTTTAAATTATCGAATTAACCTGACTGCTCATTTCTGCAGAAATCACGTTTGCAGCTTTTTAAGGATGACCCTTAGTAGCCCAATCAGAAATATGGTTTGTAAGCAATTACTGCATCTTAAAGAATAAATACCTCAAATTTTGCCTCATCAGCAATCTCTGTGTTTATAACAGTCTTAAGCTAAAAACATATAGCAAAGGTAACAGTTGATATGGATTTTGAAGTGCACCACTAAATGCTTCAATATTTTGATTTACTAAGGTTAGCCTGTGTAAACAAGCCATCAAGAATAGTTTTGTGTTTTGCACAAAAACCACCTTTCCTATCATTCATTGTTCTTTGAGATGGAGATCAGAAGTGCTGTGCTTGAGGACAGCAGTGCAGACAAAGTCCTTATCAATACATTTAAATAGCTCAGAGTAACTCAAAGGGAGCGCAGCCTTCCACTCAAACACCCTGATAAGGCATAGATTGGTCTTAACAACAAATGAACCTTGCAAAGAACCTCAATTATTTATTTATAGAGTTGCCAACCTGTGTCAATCAAAGTAGAGGACAAATGAAGATTCCTAACTCCAGGAGTTTTGGCAGGCAGTGTATAACTGTGTACACTCCATAACTTTGATATGAAGAAATGCAGTGTAACTAAAAAATCCAATACCTACTTCATGCCTATTAACATTTGCTACCAAATGTGCTTCCTATCAAAGTGACATTTTCACCTAATGAAAAAGATGTTCAAGTTCTAATTCAGACACTCAGTTCAAAGAAATGCGTCTGAGCAAGATTTGAGTATTGAACGAGAATTTATTTTGTCATGCAAGATTCAAAAATTCATAGTTCACAAATCTTAGCATGTAAGATAATCAAATGAATTATGTACTGAAGTAAGGAAGGCTCAGAAAGTATGGCAAAAATTATCTTTATTTCTTCCTGCAGATTTATTCTTGCCATTTTTTAGTAACTTTTTAGCATCTCTGGACACCTCTTGCAATCCCTGACTTCCTTGAGTCCTGAAACTACAGTATAATGTAGTATTGAGACAGAAATCAGTAAAATTTAAGAAAAAAAAAATAATAGAGGCCAATGAAACTGAAATAGAAAAAGAAAAAAAAAAATCAGTCGTCTGCCAATATTAGATAAGTAATGGTCAATGAAATTATTTCAGATCTGTTTTCCAGTTAGCTGATTTCCCATCCTGGAAGGAACATTGCTCATATCTATCAGCAGAGAATGGCTCTCAGGTTTGTGTCCCTTCTGAAATCATATTATGAACAATCGTGCAGGACAGATGGAACAAAGTACACAGGTTAAATCAGACATATTAAGCATCAAAATGTTCTCTGTTCTGATTATCTATATATTATATATTCCTTTGAAACAAGTTCTGCTTCATATGGCAATAATAGCAAAATATATTTATATTCAGAAATATGCTATAGAATACTTTGTATCCAAAGAAAAGGTGGAAAAAACACTAAGTACTTTGAGAAAGTTTAAAAACTGAGAAACATTAGGATTCACATGACGCAATTATCAGGAAATTGCCAAATATCTCTGTTTTTTTTTAGCCATTATTCCTACTTGGTGTCCAGAATCACCATTTATCTTCACTTTTTGAGAGAGATTTTCAAAATACAATAGAAAAAATAATATTTATTTGCACTTCATGAGGTGCAACCAATAAAACAGTGTTATAACAAAGGTCCATGTGGCCTTGTGTCTGTCCTGCCTCTGTCTGGCTAAAGTCCATGTCTACACATAATTTAATGCCACTCTGGTGTGAAGAAGTACATCATTTGCTTTAAGCTAATTAGTCATTTGATAAGCAGTTTTTTTGCTTTTAATTTGTTGTTTTATTTGATGTGCTTTGTACATGGATTGTGAGCACCTTACCATCACTCATTTTTAACAGTCATGTTTTAGAAACATATAGATTTTCCTAGTATTTTTGACTTTCTTTTTGCCTTGCTGAAGAGTCTGAGTAAACTCCCCTTGTGGGAAAGCAACTCCACACTTTGATAACACTTTCTGTAGGCTTTTAACTTTCTCTTTTCGAAATGTAGGCTCCAGAGAGATGCCGAGTATTCAAGTAGTGTTATTTTATGGGCATGCATAGGGAAACTGTTGGTTTTGTTTCTCTATCTCTTCCTCAGAACCAGATAAGCTCCTTAAAATTCTGTTTGCTTCTGAGATGCTGGTTTCACAGAGCTGTCAAACATACTGCCACTTCCTCTTTGACAGGAATAGATAATTTAGAGCTCACCACAGTTTATAAACTTAAAACTACTTTCCCACCAGAATA